CTGCAGCCCACCCAGGGCCTGTGCAGTCACTGCTCCGTAGATGTTGGTTGAGTTGATAAAGGACCCACCCTATAAACAGAGGCCAAGGATGTAGGTTTGAGAGACTGGCAGGAGGGCCACCCTGAGCCTGGGCCCTCAGTGTTCTCCCTCAGCACCAGGAGGTCTATGTTGACCCCCACCCCCCCTGAGGCCCTGGGCAGCCCTGACTTGTGAGCTCCAGGCTGGGCCTGGCTGGCCCTGCACCCTTGCTCAGCAAACCCCAGCCCCCTGGGCTGAGGCCCCAGATCAGCCCCACCCCATAGGAAGCCTATATCAGCCAATGGTCTGGTTTGCCAAATGAAAAAAGTAAAAAGAAAATAGGTGGTACTCGCTTCAACGACACAGCTGATTGCACTGTTGCCAGCACATGACCCTTCCCACAGGTAATTCATGCAAAATGTGCCAGGGACCAGTGCACTTTTGGGGGCACTGATTCTTTAAGATCCAGTGTGTCCCTGCGATGTATAGCCATAGCACCTGCCAGTTCCGAGGCCCCATTATCAAGCACCAACCTGAAACATAGTCCCAAAGATCAATACAAACGCGTTTAAAGGGAAAATGATTTTCACCGCTTCCGTCTGTCAGTTTAAATTTGCCAGAATTAAAAATTTGGTTTCCAGCCAAAGCAGTGTACCCTTTCCAGGCGGGTCTGGTGGGAGCAGGCTCTGCCTGGTGTGACTGCCACTCAGTGGCCGTGTCTGGTACTGCAGGGTCCCGCTGGGATTTGAGAACATTCCGGCACTGTCATGTGTGCTCTTGCTTGAGTTTTCCAACATTTTTTTTTTTTTTTGGTGGGGAGCAGGCATGTAAGAAGAGACTACATAGATGAAAACAGTGGGCAGAAGTCTGGGGTTGTGTGTGTTCCATTCTGTAACCAAGACTGGAGGATTGAGCAAACAAGGGACAGGAACAGCTGCAGAGAATCCCAACTCTGGAGCCTGCTTTTCCAAGCATGCTGCAGGAGAGCTTGTCTTGCAACATTGCACTCACAGGGGTCAGACCACCACCCCCGGGAGCAGTTAGAGCACCAGGAAGCCCACTGGAGTGAGATCTCCGTGACCTAAATTGAACTGTCTTCCTTACAGTACATTATCTGCCCGGGAGGAGACAGCCACCATTTTCTGAACAGACAGTGTAGGGAGATGCGTGTGGCTGGTGTGCATGGGCAGGAGGGGCGGCCCCCGGTGCTTTTGCTGTATCCCAGACACTCCTCTTACCTGGCATAGCCCTGTCACCTTTACCTGTCCCAGGTACATGGAGCTTTCCTCCTCCGAGCAATGCCCACTTGAGGCTGATTCATCTGCGACACCCCAGCAGATGGAGCCCTGTGTCCGGTAACATTTCCAGGTCACCAAGTCAGGGCAGGCAATCTTTGCAAGAAAACCTTGTCTTCCTGAGACACGAGCTTAGATAGTAATAATTGGGATCCATCGAACGCCTGGAAGGCAAGAGACTCGCAGACAATAACTGGAAGAGAGTTTCCACTAGGGTTGCCACAACGACACATCCCAGGCTGGGCACTTTCCACAGCAGGCCTTTATTTCCTCGCAGTTCTAGAGTCAGGGTGTCCAGGAGCCAGGGGCCATCAGCACTGGTGTCCCCTGATGCCTGGCTTTCTAGCTTGCACCTGCTTGTGTTGGAAAGAGAAATCACTTCCCCTCTTCCTATGTGGCTACAGTCGGGCCCCGCCCTTATGACCCCACTTAACTCCTCCTCCTTAGAAGTCTTGTCACCAAGTAAAGTCACGTGGGGATTAGGGCTGCAACCTGTGATTTTTGGAGGACACAGTTCTGTCCTTACAGTAGTCGTTGGCCCATTTTATAGCTAAGCAACTGAGGCTCCGGGAAACTCTGGCTTGCTGAAGTTCACACAGAGGCAGCGTCAGATCATGGATGCACTGGGGCCTGAGACAGGAGTCTCATCACCCCACAGATTGCTAAAGGGCCTTGCTCGTCTCTCTCCAGCTGCCCCGGCTTCCGCACAGAAGGACGCGTGATGAGAAGACTCCCAGGGTGCATGAGGGCTGCAGGAGCCAGGAGTGCTGTCTGGGCAAGCTGTTCTGAAACTTGAACGTGCACCAGACCCTGCCAGGCTCATTACAACACGCAGGGCTGGGCCTGCCCCGCGGCTCTGACTCGGGCCGTCTGGGGTGGGGTCTGGACTTTCCACTGCTAACCAGCTCTGCTGTAACTGTTCTAGGCATATTCCAGAGGGCACACTGCATCGTCAGGAGACGTAGGCCATGACAACACAAGTCATTATCACCATTTGTAGCAACTGTCACTCTCTTTCTTTTTTTAAGATTTATTTATTTTATTTGAAAGACAGAGTTACACAAAGAGACAGAGAGGAGGTCTTCCATCCACTGGTTCACTCCCTAAATGGCCTCAATGACCAGAGCCGAGCCGATCTGAAGCCAGGAGTAGGAGCTTCTTCCTGGGTATCTCATAAAGCTACATGGGCTCAAGCACTTGGGCCACCTTCTGCTGCTTTCCCAGGCCACCAGCAGGGAGCCGGGTCATTGGCAGAGCAGCCAGAATTAGAACCGGTGGCCGTATTCGGGATGCTGGCGTCACAGGTGACGGCTTAACCCGCTACACCACGGCGCCGGCCCCCACTGTCACTTTCTATGTCCTGGGGGATTAGCCTCCAAATGCGAGTGGGGATGGGTGTCCCTGCCCTAAGCTGAACAAGAGTGGGTTCCACTTCTAGCTCGACAAAGGCCGACTGCTTCCTTCATGAGATTTTGCTCAGTCCTCATTAAACTTGATGAAGCTCACGTAGTTGCATGAGTGAGTGGATGTTTGCAGTAGAACCAACTTTATGCTTGAAGATCAGATTTAGCAGGCCTCACTGATTGGGGTGTTCCCCGTCCCCAGCTCTGACAGCCCTTCCTCCTTGGACCTTGGCCCCACACCTCACAGTTCACTGCACAGAAGCGCTGTGAGCTTGGCCGTGACACATCTGTAATCAACACTGCCCACTTTCCCAGGTGCCTCCGTGTGTCTAGGAAAGGACCCAGGGGAGACCCAGGACTAGGAAAAGGCAGGGAGAGACCTCGACCCCTAGGAGGGAGAAGAAACCCAGGCCTGAAAGGAGAGAAGGGGACTGATGTGGGGGAATGGAGAGGTGAGGCTGAGACCACGGCACTTGGGGATGGGGTGAGTTAGAGGAAAACAAGAGGCCGAGACCCTCAAGGGACACCCGCGAGCCTGGCTCAGTCTGTCCTAATGCCAGTGCTGGTGGGGGCTCTGCATCTCACACATGGCTCACAATGGCCAAGCATGCAAGGCAGCCTTAGGAGAACTTCCTTCTCTCACGAGGGAAATACCTGTCCCCAAAGGAACACTCAAAGCCCCCAGACAAAGCAGCACAATCATGATCAGAAAGCTGTCGCGTGGTCAGCATTGTCACATAGCTGGTAAAGCCACTGTCTGCAATGCCAATCTCACATATGGGTGCCGGTTTGAGAACCGGCTCCTCTACTCCCAATCCTGCTCCTTACTAACGCACCTTGGAAAGCCTTAGAGGGTGGCCCAAATGCTTGGGCCCCTGCACCCATGTGGGAGACCTGGATGAAGCTCCTGTCTCCTGGCTTCAGCCTGGCCCAGCCCTGGCCATTTCAGCCATCTGGGGAGTGAAACCACAAATGGAAAGCTCTCCCCTTCGCCCATCCCCAGCTCTCTTTCCCCCTCTCTCTGTAACTCTGATATTCAAATACATAAATAAACCTTTTTTTAAAAAAGATTTATTTACTTATGCAAAATTCAGAGTTACAGAGAGAGAGGAGAGGCAGAGAAAGAGAGAGAGAGAGAGAGAGAGAGAGATCTTCCATCTGCTGGTTCACTCCCCAGATAGCCACAATGGCTGGAGCTTCACCAATCCGAAGCCAGGAGCCAGGAGCTTCTTCCAGGTCTCCCACATGGGTGCAGGGGCCCAAGGACTTGGGCCATCTTCTACTGCTTTCCCAGGCCACAGCAGAGAGCTGGATCAGAAGTGGAGCAGTCGGGACTAGAACCGGCGCCCATATGGGATGCAGGCACTTCAGGCCAGGGCGTTAACCTGCTGTGCCACAAATCTTAAAAGGAAAAACAAAAAGAGAAAAAGAGAAAATAAATCCACGCAGGGCGATTGGAAGCAGAACTTGGGAGCCAGGTGATCTGTACACCTGGTGGCAGCAGGTCTGTGTCCGCAGGATCAGGGAAAGGCCCGAGAGAAGAGGGTGGGGTTTTGTTTTGTTTTGCTGGGGGGCGGGCTGCTGGTTTTCTGCATGTGTGACCCCCTAATCCTTTGCAGAGACAGGAGTTGCAAAGCCCGGGTCACACTTCTCTTGGTTCTAGAAAAGCGTGTAGGTCACTGATTTTCCATCAAGCAAGGGAACAAAAGGTCACCTGACCACATCCCGTCACTTGGGGCATCCCAGCATTGCCATAAATGTCTGTTAGGGATTGCAGTGAAGACCCGGACAGCACCCCTGGCACAAACCCACCCCTCCAAAGACTGTGAAGAAGTCGGCTGATTGTATGCCTGGCAGAGAATGGCCACAAGATAACGAGAGAAAGTGTGGGGGGTTGAGGGGGAGCAAGACTCGGGGGGCTCAGGACGAGAGAGAGGGAGAGGCTCCTGGGTTCCACCAATGGGGAGCATGCAGGAACCAGGCCCCAGCCAACCTTTTAAAAGCAAAACGAGGTCCTCTGATGGCTGCACACGTGCTGAGTGGTTTTGCACAGAGCAATCTGGGAATATGTCAGGTGCCCCCTCCTTTGGGCCCCTCATGCTTTCTCGGTTCCAGAATACTTAGCACCCCAAAGTCAGAGGGGACAGCGGAGGGCCGTAGAACAGTCCTCTATCACCCTCGGGCTCCCTGGCATGTTGGGAAGTCGAAGCCTCTGTCAGCTCAGAGGCCCTGGAACCCTCCCCAGCTGCAGTGCCCTTGCCACATCTGGCCCAATGTGGTGCAGATGCCTGAGGTCCGGGGCTCTGTGCCAGACCACCTGGATGCGCACTGCTGGTGTTGTCTGTCGCAACCTCCCACCCTGTGCTCCAGACCTGAGCAGTACCCTCTCCAGCTGGGCCCTGGGCCAGGGGCCCGTGTGGAAGATGGACTCTCAGGGTGAGTGGTCAGGGTGGCTCTCACCTGCCTGGAGGCACAGCTGAAGACCCCTTCCCCTAAAGGCTGCAGCTGGTGCGCTGGGTACTGTGGCTCACAGGGGAGTTTGAGGAGGGAGGAGGCTTCCCGGGAGGGGTTGGGGTGAATATCCTGGAGACCACTTTAACCATGGCACCTTAAGACATGTGCCTTCATTCCCTGTCCCTGCTGGGCCTGCAACAGAGCCACCCATGGAGGAGCGTGTGTGGATCACAGCCGTCAAACATCTAAGCAGAGACAGGAAGTGGCGGGCAGTGGCAGGAAGACATGGACCCCCGGCCCTCTCTCCCTGGCTCATTTCCCACATCTCTTCTAAGAGCTTTCTTTCCTCTGCATCCAATGTAAGGAGGGGGTGCTCAGGAGGAGGCCTCTCCATTGTTTACGGAGGACAGTCTGCTCTGACAGTGCCAAGCATTTGGAAATGGGCTGCTTCTTGGTGGAAAACCAGAGCGCTTGCCTCACCAGCTGGAAAGGGCTTTGCTGTGAGCTCAGGGGCCCCCGGCTGGGCTGGGGCTGCTGTCTGGGAAGCTCCAGCCAGGCCCTCCTACCCAGACACGGAGAGACTGTCCCTGCTGGCTTGGAGATCTCTGCCTCCACGTCAGGCTGTGGCCTCTGTGGCCTCTGGTTTTGTGGAAGGGCTGGACTCACCTCCCACACCCACAGCAGGTGTAGCCTTGCAAGAGGAGACGATGCCAAAGAAAACACAAGAAAACACGGCTCAGTTTTCAAGGCAGCTGATATCTGTTGAGAACTTGGCACCCGCCCATCCCCAGTCTGCCAGGTGCATCAGGGACAAAGAGGAAGTATGTGGCCCCCAGTGGCCTGGGTCTGAAGGTATGGACTCCTAGTGAGCCCAAGCACGAGTCAGGGAGCTGGAGCCTCTGGGGCAGTCAGGTGATAACTGTGTGCAGGTGATTCCGACAGACTGGCTGCTGCTCTGTCTCATCTGACACAGGGCAGGGGACAGGGAGGGACCATCAGGGCAGGTGTCCCGCTGTGTCATGCACTAGAGTGAACCTTCAGGGCTGAGTAGAATTTGCCTAGACCAAGCAGGGACAACAGGGATGAGTAGGATTTGCCTAGACCAAGCAGGGACAACAGGGATGAGTAGGATTTGCCTAGACCAAGCAGGGACAAAGGTTTGGGAGTGACCCCAGGCCGTCAAGAGGCCAGCTGCCAGTCAGTGGCCCTCTTGGTGAGTGTGGGGAGGGGACATGCATCTCCATGACTGGCTCCACAGACCCACTTCCCCTTGAGACGGCCTCCTTGTACTTCCAGGCCTGGCTGGGGGCGCCTACCTCACACTCTTGTTAACAGGAATTAGACAAGTGACAATAATTAAGACAGAGAATTCAGAAAAGCAGAATGAAAATAGGTGCTCTCACTGGTCTCCAGTTCTCATACGGGGGGAATGGAGACCATGTGGGGCAGAGTTAACCTGACCTAAAGAGAAGTCTGGACACAGTAGTTGTTGCCGGTAGCGGGTGTAGGGGCGCTAGCAACGCCGGGCGGCCTCTCCCCCACCCCTCAGGCCAGGCCCCAGGCTCGATCCCTCCCCCCCCCCCCCGCTTCCTCCTCTCCCCGCCCGGGTCAGGCACGGGAAGGTCCAAGCCGCTGCCGGGTGCCTGAGGGCCTTCATGGCCGCCCCCACAGATCCCAGTGGAGCCGCCGAATCTCTATCTGGTGAAGCTCTACATGTATGACCTGTCCAAGGGCCTGGCCTGGCGACTCAGCCCCATCATGCTGGGAAAACAACTGGAAGGCATCTGGCATACCTCCATAGTTGTGTACAAGGATGAGTCCTTCTTTGGCAGTGGTGGGATCTCCAGCTGCCTGCTGGGAGGGACATTGCTTGGGCCCCCAGACTCTGTGGTTGATGTGGGCATCACAGAAGTCACAGAAGAAATCTTTCTGGAGTACCTGTCCTCCCTGGGGGAGTCTCTGTTTCGAGGTGAGGCCTACAACCTCTTTGAACACAACTGTGACACCTTCAGCAACGAAGTGGCACAGTTCCTGACGGGGCGGAAGATCCCTTCTTATATCACTGACCTGCCCTCTGAAGTTCTCTCCATGCCCTTCAGACAGGTGCTTCAGCCCCTCCTGGACTCCATCCAGATCCAGCCTCCTGGGGGGAGCACCGTGGGCAGACCCAATGGCCAGAGCTAACAAGACCACATGGGACCACCCTGCCTCACCAGGGCTTTTCCTCTTTAAACAAAACAAACCCTACCAGATTTCTATTTTATAATTTTACATCAGAGCTAACAACCAGGGGACGGCTTTTTAAATATCCCAGGGAATGAGATCACCAGGCTGCACATGGGACAATGCTGCTAAGGAACAGAGCAAAATGCCACCCCTTCCAATAGTATTACACTAATTTATTAAGGCTGTCTTGTCTGTGAGTTCACTTTTGACGCTGTTTCCTAAGCGTCCTCCACACTGGAGAAGGGGGGGGTTGGTTAAGCAGCAAGCAAGAAGCACAATGTGGGGGAGCCCCAGCCTGGAAGTTCTTTGCAGAGAACACCCACGCTGCACTCAGCTTGCTGGCACCTGTGGGAGCCAGGTGAGCCCAGCCACATCTGTTACCTCCTAGAGTTAAATGAACCAAAGGATTTGGCGCACGGTGACTAGCCCAGCCTAAGTGAACTCAGCTACGACCTCTCTCCCTTCCCTCCCCAACCCCAGCAAAGCTGTGGGGCCAGAGCTGGAGCAACCAGCACCTCAGGACTGAGGGAGAGTGACAGCAAGGACCAGAGCAAACAGGACAAAGCCATTCCTCCCTGCACCGAACTGATGGCTGCCCTCAGGCCACTCCCTCAGCACGGCCATCCTGGCACAGCTGGCGAAAGTCTGGGATGCAGGGCGGAAACCAAGCCTTGTGCCTGCAAATCTTGGTGCAGGTCATTTGCAGCCCCTGTAACCACCCGTCCAGACCAACAAACAGGCTGCAGCTAGGTACCAAGAGGGCTGACACCTGGCTCTAGAAAAATATCTCTGACGTATAAAGAAATAACAGTGCAGAATCAAGGTGGCAAGAAGGCTTAGAGTTGTTTCCGCTGGAAACTTGACCCTGTCCTGACTGTGTCCGAAGCACCCATTATTGCGTTGTCATTCTGACTCAGGAAGCATGAATGGGCGTTCTCCCGAGGACTTGCTACTGGGAGTCTCTGACCTGAAGAGACCTTCGTGTTCCCTCCTGTCTCGTGAGCCTCTCTCCCATCAGTTGGGCTTGGAGGAGGACGTGAGGGGACGGGACCCAGGCAGCCCAAGTCAGCCCCGGTGTACTCACGCCCCTCCTGCTCAGCTCCTGCCTCTTCGCAGACTTGAGCTGTGCTGCTCCTCCCCGGAAAGCTGCTGCCAGCTCTGGCCCGTCCCCCGCCACCTTTTCCATGAGCCATAGCAGTTGGCCTCATCGGGAGCTCAGCTAAAGGAAGGGGTGCCTTCTGCCTTAGTGTTGCTGGGACCTCACTGGGGGCACATCCAGCCGGGACGTCAAGTGACGCTTTAGAACTGTAAGATTGGAGCATCTTTAGTTTTTCTCAAGATGCAGTCACTGATTCACAGTGTGCATGGGAGAGATCAACTGGAGCAAACACTGCCAGGGGCCGTTGTTTGTTGGTCCTCATAGCAGGCTCGGGTCCCCAGAAGGTGAGTTTTAGAGGCTGGGTTTCCTCTGGGAGGGGCAGGGTGTTGGTCAAGGCCATCGCTCTGCTTCCCACCAGTGTCTTCCTTTTCCAGCGTTCCTTGTCCGGCCCCTCGCCCCCAGCCTCCTGCTCCAGACCTCTCCCCTGTCTCCAGAAGGTACTGGGCTTTCTTCTCCTCTCCCATATCCAGGAGCCAGTTGGCTCCTTCCTGCAGTCTCCCTCAGACCCAGTGCTGTTCTGAAAAGTTAGCCCAAGTGATGCCCCTAGAGAGTTGGAGTCACCCCCGTTCATGCCCAGCAGCATTCGTTCCAATGCCTGTGCCCTGGGGCTTGTGGGAAGATGGAGGGACCATGAGCAGTCTTTCCAGGGCTTTGCAGGAAGGCAGGCCCCACCATCACTGACTGGAAGCCCAGGCTCAGGCTCAGACCTCCCCCACCCCGTCCTTACCTTTCGCTGTCTCACCCAGAACCACAGGAGCGTGCTCATTGTGACCAGCTAACTCCGCATGGACGTGGACAGGCAGAGTGGAATGGGGTCACGTATTTGTGTCAGAGTGGACACCTCCATAGAGGTCCATTGGTTAAAAGGGACAGGGAAGGAGGAGGGATGAGGCCGCCACCCCTTCTCTGAAAAAAAGCTTGTACCTGAGATTTGTTCATGCCCTCCAAGTCAAACTAATCACTGTGTCTAGTATGGAGGTGTTTGCTTGTTTCCTTTGATGTTTTTTCTAATGCAATAAACTCATGTCTGCCTGCTGTGGGAAAAAAAAAAAGAGAAGTCTGGCTTTGGCCTTGCCTGGGTGGTCCCCCAGCCCCCTGTGGTGTCCTGCTGCAAACGAGTGTCTTTGCCTGGGAACTTTGGCCACTGGACCATCTCACTGTAAGTGCGACTTACAGTGGGGCTTTGGGACTTGCCCTCAGCTCTGACCTCTGGAAGGAAGGGAGACTCGAGGTCAGTCACACAGGTAGCACGCAGTCTCACCCCAACAGCAACTCAGCAGTGGAGGTTCAGAGGAGCGGAGGTTGATGATAACCCATCACGTTGTCGTACGTCATTGCTGGGACAGGTAACACCCCCGACTCCCAAGGAGAGTGTGGCCAGGAGCTCCTCATCAGATCCTCCCAGATTCTGCCTCCTGATTTTTTCTAGGCTGGTTCCAATTTGAATCCTTTTTTTCTAATGACCCTGTCTTAGTGTCTTAGTTAAGGAGAGTGCTTGCCTAAGTTCTGTGGGTCATTCTATGAGGTCATCAAACCTGGAGGAGGTAGTGGGACCCTTGAACTCAGGGCTGGTGTCCCAGTAAGGATTCCTGTGGGTATCCTGCCTTTCGGATCTGTGCACTCCACCTACATTTCTTTACAGAAACTGAGCTGCACAGATGCAGTTGCCAGGGCTGAGCCTAAGGCCTGATCCTGAGCTGGGGTGTCTCAGGTTTTCCAGCATTCAGTTGGGTGAGCATTTTGTTGGAAAGGGGGTGAAGAGTTAAAATTGTATATGTGCGGGTGTAAAAAGTTAAGCTTAAGCTTAACTTTTAAACCTTCCTGGTGCAGCTGTAAAAATAAGACAGAGTGAAGTAGCACCTTGACAGTAGGGACTCCATTTTGGAGCACTTGAGACTCCATTCTGGGAAAGCACACCCCCCCCGCCCCGGCCCCCGTGAGACTCTGGTCTGAAACTATGATCTCAAATAGTCGGACAATAGCAGTGCACTACATCACCCTTGGCAATGCACAAAAACCCCCCTAGCATGATTGCTCAAGCTTAAAAGTAGAAAGGTTGCACCTGGGTTACCTGGGCTAATAATAAAGATGTGATTTGTCTGTGTCTTACATTAATGTCAAGTCCTAATTGCTAATTGTAATATTGTAACTGGTATTGTCAAGATTATGATAAATATTAATTTCACTTAGGTTTTAGGTTATGTTGACCCCAGTAACCATATACTCTCTTTTGATTTTATACTCTCTTTTGATTTTAGCAACTGTGTATAGCAACCGTGCATAGCAACCATGTATTCCCCCTTCCCGGTTTTGTGGTTTTTGCCTTTATAAACCCTAACCTTTGGTTATTCGGGGCTGCTCTGTTCATGTATGATCAGACAGCCCCAGCATGCTGGATAATCAATAAATCTTTAACCCTTTGCTGGTTGCATGAGAGAAAAGTCTCTTGGAGTCGTTCCTCAGGCGGTGGGCTTTTTCAGACTCTAACAGGGGCAAGTTAAAGTTATTTTTCTGGAATCATGGAGAATCTTGCCAGGGGTCAGAAGGGATGGGAATATTTGACTTCAGCAACAGTATTTAGATAGATCTTCCTATAACAAGTGAGGATGGAATGGGACCATTTTAACAACCGTATACTTTCTGACTCATTGAATAGACCTTAGTGCCTGTTTCAGGATAGATCCTGCTGCTAATCAGACGTAGTTTATCACTTGGCAAAAGCAAGCCTGGACCGGAGCAGGTTGCCAAGGGCACCTGGAAAGTCCCCACTGTTCCCTTTAGTCTCAAAACAAATATACCCACAAGGTTTTCCAATCTGCTTACCTTCAGGAAAGGTTGCAGAGGAGCTAGTGTGTGAGAAGGAAGGGAGTGGTGCTCCGTAGGGGGAGGGTGTTCCTGGCAGCAGGGACAGGTGTGGGGAACACAGTGAGCTTCGTGTTCTGGAAGCTGCTGAAGTGTAGGAGGGAGAAGTTACACCTAACTGACAATGCTGGCTCAACTTTCCATTGACCCTCAAGTCCACCCGTGAATCCTTTCTCCTAATTTTCTGAGTCCTAGAACCATCAAAGGACCACTGACTTCTCATCAGCAACCACAGCAGCCAGAGGATGAGACAATGTCTTCAAAGAAATGAAAAAGGAAAACAAAGCTACCAGGAATTTAGTTTCTGTACAAATATTCTTTAATAATAAAAGTGAATAAGGAGATTTTCAGGTTAAAAACAATGAGACAGTTAACTTTGAGCAGAAATGTTCAAAGAAGTTTTCCAAACTGCAGTGAAAGATTCCATACAGAAACTCAGAACTTCAGGAAGAAGGAAAGATGGTCAGAAATGCTAAATATATGGATACATTCATGTGTTACCCAAGACAGTTATGTTCAAGGATGGGGACGGGTTGCAAGGTTGTCTAAGCAAAGTGTGAAAAATCAGGAGTGTATGTTGCAAATGCTGGCAAAAGAACAGAAAAATTTAGTTTAAAATATATGGTTTTTATGCCTTAATGGGAGAGTAGAGATTTCCTTTCAAAGAATTACTGATTCTTGAGGAAGCATGGGAAGATGGGACTCTGTGGGAAAGATGTGGAACCTTTTCTGACACTCAGTGCTCCCCTATAACCCAAAACATCGGAGCAGAGTACTGCCTGCAGGTCAGCCATGGACACAGGGCAGACTCATCCCAGGCCTGGACCCTGCCAGGCAGTGCCAAGAGCAGGAGAGTGAGTTGTGAGAAGCCTCCCCTCCTTTGCACTGTTGGTCCCTTAGGGAGGCGCCCTCCTGGGAACCCAGGATGGACTCTGCAGAGTGTGGGATGAGGATGCTGGCATCCTGGAGACAGAACAGCCTTATCCAGCAGCGTATGCTGTTCTCAAGCCAACGTTGATCCTTCCTCACTTGTTTAAGGGGAATGCACACGGATATTTCAAAAGGTTCGTGCAAAGTGCATTTTATGAGAAACCTGTGCATGGATTTTCAAAATTTCTTTTTGAAAACAAACTTATCTTTTAATTTCATTTTCCATGAATTTTTAAAGTACTCTCATTTTTGTTGGAGTACAGGGTTTAGGGGCTCAAGGACTTGGGCCATCT